TCTCTCTCTGTGTTCTTCCTCACCTTCCTCCTCCAATTACAAAACATACCCAAGAAATTACTTTGAAGAAATTCTTTTAGGTTAAAAAAAAATTAAATGGGTTCATTGGTGGGTCATGTTGCACCAGGATTTGCCTTCTTTTTACTTGGTTTTTGGCACTTATTCAACCACATGAGGCTCCATTATCTCCACCCAAATTCGTACACTTCAACTCCATGGTTTCCCACTTCTAAATTCAGATACGCAGAGCTATTTTTCATCATGGTTGGCACATCAATCTCCATAGCCATGGAGCTGTTCATTGGACCAGAAAGACACCAACCCTTTGACCCAGATGGCACCATCCCTTCATATCACCTCCATAACTTCGAACACTCCTCTATCTCTCTCACCTTTTTTGTCTATGCAGTCTTTGCAATCCTCCTTGACAAATACCCTAATTACCCTGCTCAAAACATTAATCTCATCAAAGGTCTAACCCAGTTGATTGGAGCTATAGCTTTTGCTCAACAACTCCTTCTTTTCCACCTCCACTCAGCTGACCACATGGGTGTTGAAGGACAGTACCATTTACTCCTCCAATATGTAATTGCAGTGTCATTAGCCACAACCCTAATAGGAATAAGGTACCCTAAAAGTTTTCTAATCAGCTTTGTAAGGTCCGTTAGTATAACCTTCCAAGGAATATGGCTTGTGGTTATGGGTTACATGCTCTGGACTCCTGGGTTGATCCCTAAAGGCTGTTTTATAAACCTTGAAGAAGGGCATGAAGTGGTCAGATGCTCAAGTCAAGAGGGTCTACATAGGGCTAAGTCTTTGGTTAACATTGAGTTCAGCTGGTATTTGGTGGGTATCACCATTTTTGCAGTGTCATTTTACTTGGGTTTGGGTAGGGTATATGGCTTGAAAATGGTGGAGTATTCTACTGTACAAGAAAATGATGAAGGGGGAGAAAGTGATGGTGATCATCATGATGTGGAGTCACAGAAGAGATCAAACAAGTTACTTGAAGATTCTAAGAGTTTTAAGCCAATTGACATTGAAAGGTAAAAGAATAAATACATATGTGTGTGTGTATACATGTATATATATATATATATATATATATATGGTGGTAAATGATGAATTGATTAGTGGACATGATTAGGTGTATGTTGGGTACAGGTTGGTGGGATTGAATTTAGGTTTAATCTTAATTAAGCCTGCATATTATATATATATATATATGTATATGTTTCTGATTAATCATGAATTCTTAAAGTGAACAAAGAAGTTGTGATAGTTCATTCCATGGGTCTGTAATTGTTGATAATTAATCTTGAATTTGTGCAGATTCCCACTTGTATATTTTCATTCTTAATTTCTTCTTCTTTATAAAAATTATGCAGAGATTAGCAGCAAAGTTTAAGATAAACTCTGTATGTACATGTGTATATATTTGTATTTTAGTAGCTAATTAAAGTCATTAATCAATAGATTAACATGGGGAGGGATAATTAGCTATATCCATATGATATGTTATATATATAATATTATTTTAGTTGTATATTATATATATATATATATATATATATCTAATTGCTTGTTCTCTCAAGAAAGATGGCTGCGCTGTATATGCTTCATCAGCAACCTGAAGCAGCCCTGCAACTCGGCTTCAACTCAAACAATTAATTCATGGGTTGACTAAGCAATCTAATCCTAGAAAATGACATTACATACATATATACATATATATATATATTATAGTTTATATATAACACATCCTTTCGTAATTACAAGAAAAAAATTGTTCCCTTTAATTTTTATTAATTTTATTATTTTTTTTTATATTTTATGTTACTAATTATATAATTATTATAATAATAAAAAATATATAACTTATTTAAAAATGTATTAATTAATTTAAAAGTGATGAATCACGAATAACAATTGACGGGAGAGACCAAAGCCACGAGGACCACGTGAACGGAATTACAAGACGTATTTAGAGTTTTGTCTCGTGCATTATTTAATTCTCGGTTTATGATAAAATTGATATTATTAATTTATAATATTTGATTTATTATAATTATAAATTTAATTTATTAATATATTGATAAAAATATAATAAATAAATTATATTAAATTTATCATATTTTTAATAAAAATTATTTTATTATATATAAAATTTTTAGTCATAAGATATTAAAAATTCGATTTAAATTCTTTTACAATGAAATAATTCTCATATTAAACCTAATCTAATTTGTATAAATTAATTTTTTATCGCAATAATTTTGTATTTTTTATAATTATAATATTTATTAAATATATATATATAGTACATATAATTAATACTATATATAGGTTAATGACGAACTCGGGCTAATTAAACATAACAAACCAAACACCTAATCTAATTAAATTGCAATTTGGCCCTAAACCAACTCTTAATTAATGAAATATTTCTTTATAATTAATCTCTATTATTCTATATATATGTATAGCGTACGGGCCATGAGGTCCCAATTCGACGTCGTTTCGTTTCTAACCACTTACTAATCAATAGACCATTAGGCCCTCAACCTATCTTAATTAATAATATCACGATTATATAAATTTATGTACTTATTAAGTAGATGTTTGGGGCATATATAAATTTTATTATAAGTTTTTAAAGTATCATTAAAATAATTATTAATTAAAATTATTATATAGTATTTGAAAAAAAATAATATTTAAAAAAAATAAAAATTGTGTATTTGATGAAAATAATTTTTAAATTTCGATTATAATTTTTTTATAAAAATCGATAATGCTTTCTAAAAATTATATATAAATAGTTTTTTTGTATTTAAAAGTGCATTTTAATTTTAACTATTGCTAAAAATATGTTATCTTTTATATGTTTGATTCTAAAAAAATACTTTTAAAATATTAAATTTAAAATTAAAAGTTGAATAAAATATCTTTTAACTATCTGTTAATTCGATAGTCGGTACTTCACTTTATTTTTATAAAATATAATTAATACGTGTTGGAATTTTTTTTTACGTGAAGAAAACTTAAATTTTCATTAAATTTACTCATTCAAAACTTAACAACTTAAAGTATTTTTAAATAGGTTTATATCAAATTCAAATTTTCTAAAAATAATTTATTACTATTTAAAAAATAAATATAAATTAAATATTTTAAAAAATAAATTATCACTGATGACATAATTTTTTAAAAATAAATATGTTCTAAATTTAAATAAAGATAAATTTTATTTGAATTCAAATTAATAAATAAAATAATTTATAATTTTTACATTTATTTTCAACAATATATTTAACGAGTGTATTCGTTATTTTGTATTTGTCTTATAATGTAAATTAATAAATTAGCCCTAAGCCTCGTGTCATGCATGAAAAATCGTTCATCTTTTTCTCAATTTATAACTTATAAATTGCTAAAATATTATTTTTTGATCCTATTTTTGTCTTTATAAACATTGTTTGTTTAATGATGTATACATATGCACATATATATATGTATATATATATATATAATATGGCATCATATTCATATAGTATAAATACATCGTACCACGTTAGTTAATGAAGATTCTGGCAAATTAAGGTTGTCCCGTTCAATAATATCAAATATAATATTTTAAAAACACACAAGAACATATAATTTAGCGAATGGAACTATTGAGGGTTGGCTTAACCGCTTAGCAAACCGGCTCGTGGATTTTGGACCGGACCGGGCCGTTTTGGCGGGTTCGTCAACGGCAAGTCTAGGTCCCAATTTCCACGGCGTCGTTTTATGAGGATCTTGGAACGGTGTCGTTTGTCTCTTTTAATTCCCCCCAGGCTCTGACAAGCTGCTTAATTTTCACGGTGGGATCATAAGTTATATAAACAGACACCATCTCTCTCTCTCTCTCTCTCTGCGTCTTCTCTCACTTCAGTCACTTTCCCTCTAGGGTTTGACAGAGGCGGAGATCAAGAGGTTCTCTTCTTGAGGGTTTATCACTTGTCGTTGGGTTCCATTTCAGTAAAATGGAAGACTCGGAGCCTGGAAAACCAGACAAGAAGAGGCCTCACTTGAGTTCTGTCTCTCCAACCATGGCTCGTAATTCCCCCGCTTCTCCTCCCTTGAGCAAAAACGTAATCTTCTTTCTCTCTCTCTATATGTCCCTGTATATCTAATCGCTTATGTTTGGATGTTTTATCTTTTTATGCATTTATGTAGAGAATTGTGTTTGTAAGTATATATTCTGTTTAATTAATCTTTTCGTTTTCTTTTTGATTCTTGGAAATGAATTAATCAAGTTTTAGCGAGTTTAGGTGTTTGGGAGCGATCTTTTCTTTTTCTTGATAAGCAGTTGTTTGGTTTAATCGGGCTTGATGTGGTGTGTTAGAATATCGCTAGGAGATAAGAGATTAAATGGTTTTCTTAGATTAAACGTGTCTTGATTCATTCGTTCATTTGAAGATATATGTGAATAGATTTTGGTGAAGTATGTTTTTAATTTTGAATATGATTTTGTTTTTAAGGAGAATTAGTGTTGCAGTTCCTTGTTGGTTGGACGGTGGGGAAGTGGAGCAAAAGAAAAGTTAAACTTGGAAAAAGTTGTTTGGAATGCTTGTAGGGTTTTTATTAAGTAAATGAATACTTATTATAATCTGTTTGCATTTATTTGTGGTGTAGTAAAAATCAAGTTGACACGTCTCGATAGCAAATGAATAAAATCGATGGTTTAATGACATAATGAAGTGACGAAATCCATATTGCATGCACTAGTTATGTGTAGGTGGATTGCTAAAAGTGAGTATTTTTTTGTTTGTTGAGATGGTTTCGTTTACTACTATGTGGTAAATTGATTAAGTTTATAATTTGAAAGATTTCTTTGGAATGTTGACTTCTTTTCTACATTGCTCTATATTGAAATTGAGGGTACATTCTTATGGAAAGTGATTAAAATCTTCCAAACAACTAAATAAGGGAGGTATAAAGTCTTTACTGTTTTAAAAGTTTGGTTATAAGTGGATAACAAAGAAGTAATAGATTTGCATTTTCATTGTAATCTCTTGTTTTAGTAACATCATGACCTTTTTGAAGAAAATCATAACATAAAATAGTAAAATTTATAAATGGAAAATTGTTTAGAATGTTTGGTAATTATTACTTCCATAATGAGAATAAGGCTATATTGGTATACTTTGATATTAATGGAATAAAATGGGAAATCTAAGGAAATAATGATGCCACAAGGTTGGTATTGCATCTGCAACAAGTGTAGTTAGTAATAGGAAAATAGAAATTCTATGTATTTCGTTTTAGTGGAACATCTTTTTAAATTAATATTCGGATATGACGACATTTTAAATTTCTAATGAATTTTCCCCTAAATGCCCTTGTTTGAAATATTTTTTCTCCATAATTAGCCTCGTGCCCTAGGAACATCACTACTTATTCTTCTCATTGTCACTTCTTGAGAAAGTTTATGCGGCACTGATCTGGTTCTTCTTCACCAAACACAAGGATTGCAGCTTTTTATGCTCATCCATGTTCGTCAAAACTTCTGAACCCTTGTCTCCACATTGTCAACTAAAAGCCCCTTCTCAATATGCTGAAATGCACTCCTCTACATAAAGTTTCTTCCACTTTTTCGTGGAAATAAAAAGAGAAGACAATCTAGGAAACCCTTATAAGTTAGAGACTGTGACTCCCTCTATGAAGATCCGAGGGATCTTTCACCTGTGGAGCTCCTAAAATCTAACCTGTCTCCTTCTTAAAAAACAGAGAGAAGAGGGTTTCTTGTCTTGCTGACTTCCCTTGGTTGCATTGAAGGTCTGTGCGATAACCGAAATCTTCTTATGGAGAACCTGAGTGGTTGATTCTGTACATGTGTTTTCTTAGTCGATATGAGTTAGTTGGCCACAGTGGCGACTCAAAAGGTCACAGAATCTGTTGAGGTAAAATTGTTTGACATAACGTAGATGGGTATGTAATGCAATGATGATTACATTGTTTAGTTAAGAAATTGACATGTAATTATGAACGCTTTATAATGTTCTCTCTTCTTTTTTTTTCTGTACAAAACAAACTGATAAAGAATAGAATGTAAATTTTGTCTCCATTAGGAAGTTCATTAAAACATGCCAAACATGCTGTTAGATGCTTGATTCTCAATTTATAGAGAAAGATTGAAGTGGTATTCCACATTAATCTGGTTTATTTTAGGCTGTCCCCTAGCTTCTCTTATAAATTTGAATTGTGTGTATGGTAATTTACTTATATTCAGCTGTTCGTTACTGATTTCTTATGTTCTCTATATCTAATGAATGAGGGAGGTCTAAGTTTGTAGTCATGTCGTTTTTATTCTCTTGACAAGCACACAAATAACAGCTGGCCTTTACCACAAGTTGATCTCAGTGCCTTCTGCATAATCGAAAGGGTCTTTCCTGGTCTTACCATTATGAGTGTCAAGAACTGTCTTCGGCCAGTGCTATTGTGTGAATGGTCTATTTGAAAGAGGATTTCAGCCAGAAACTTCACTTGAGAGGAAATATTACAGCTATCATGATCAGAGGCCTTTCATCTACTCAAATAATTTTGATATAAGTTCTGTGTTTTGTGTGGTTAAGGTTCGGTATAAATGTGTGGCAGAGAGATTGATAAAGAATGAAAGTATTTTGTTATGCATCTTCACACCAAAACGTTTGCACAGACTCAAAACAATGGCGTGTATGCTTTGCGTGGTAGCTCATCACTTTCAGTTACAACTCTAGTTTCAGTTTTCGTACTGTAGTTTCTGATACTGGTTTGTGACTACATATAGCAAAGATGATTTTGTTTTCACCAGGTTGATGCAGCAGTGCTCCAGCATCAGAATCAAAAGCTTGTTCAGCAATTGGAGCTTCAGAAGCAAGAGTTGCATGATCTTGAAACCAAAATTAGAGAACTACAAGACAATCAAATGGCTTATGATGACATGCTGATTATTGTCAATCAACTTTGGAATCAGGTCAATTGTCGTTTCTGCTTTTCTCTGTGCAACTTTAAGTGTTCTCTATTTAGCTCTTTTAGGATTTCCTTTGCCTTTTATTTTCTGTACCTCTGGTGGCATGTGTTATTTTTTGGTTATACGGACATGGGCGGTACCCCCTTAATGCCCTTTTTTAATACATCTACTAACTTCTATCTCAAAATTTTTTTTTTTGGTTATATAGTTGGTTGATGATTTGATCTTGCTTGGGGTTCGTGTTGGGGCTGGTCGAAATGTGATGCGAAACTTAGATCACAAGGACCATTATCAAGGTTTACTAGTTCTTTCTTCAGATAAAATGTCTTTTATAATTGAGTTATATGATCATTACATTCAAATAGAGTTCCTCTCATGCGAGGAAAAAACTAACTGTATGGAAGCTTCAGGTTCAATTCCATCATGCGCTGCAGAGCAGATGTTTCTTTGTAGACTGCTAGAAGCTGATTCTATTGAAATTGCTGATAATGAGGAGATTGTTAAATATGTTGGAGAGGCCCTTGCTTCACGCCATTCATCTACGAGGGGCTTGGTGAAATGTCTGGAAGATACTATTTCTGTTCAGAGGGCAAAAACTGAGAACATAGCTGAGGCTTTACGTGGAGAGCTATCTGGAGAAGGTCAGGAGATAATTTGATGATGAGTTCAATTATTAATTCATTGACTTCAATATTTGGTGTGTATAACTTGGTTAACATTCTGTTGCTATAAATGTATTGATTTTGTTTACATGTTTTGAGTTATTAGGTGTTATCTTTCGGCTGTCTAAGATTGATTTTATGATGGAAGAGGAGGCAAAAAATTTGCGAGAGATGATTGATAATCTTCACCTGAAGCATAAAGAATATGCTGATGGAATCCAGGCTTACATAACCCGCGATTCAGTTGATCAGTCTGAGATTAAACGGCTTGCAGGTTTTTGAGAATGTTCTGCCATATTTTTTTTAAACCCAAGTTTTATTAGGATAGAATATTACATAGGTGCATGTGATGCCTGCAATTGCAAACATATGCGAACACTATCGAGTCTTTTGACAGCAATACAGTAGCTTGTCAATTTTTTGGTTGGTGTCTTGTAATGGTTCTGTACTTATCATGCATATATTTTCTTAATGCTGGAAGGTCAATTGGAAGAGAGCATGGCTGAACTTGAAGAAAGTAGAAGAAAGTTGATCAACCTGAAAATGCAGAAGGATGCAGCATCTGCGGTGCATTCACCTACTCCAATTGCCGGAAATGGAAATTTATCTCCTGAAAAACCTATTGATAAGACAAGCTTGCGGGAGTTGAAAGAAGCTATTGAAGAAACAAAGGTATTTATTCTTATGATAAAGATAATGCCCGTTTTCATCTCTCTCTCTCTCTTTGCTTCTGTTAGTGGCTAACCTGCCAGGTGATGTTACTGAATAAATTTCATAGATACTAGCAGCAGATCGTCTCTCTGAGCTTCAGGAAGCCCAAGATTACAATCTAGTCCTGTCCAACCAGTTGCAGGATCTTCAGGTTTATATGTATTTTTGAAATTTAAATCCTATTCAAAGGTTTTCATTCATTCTGCTTCTTTGTAAATCTAAGTTTTTGGACAATGTTAATGTAGAATGAAATCTATAGTGACAAGTATGTGGAATGTTCACGGCTGTATAATCTGCTCGTTGATAAGCTCCAAAATGCTGATGCTGAACTTGAAAGATATCGTACTCTAACTGATTCACTTGAGGTGATATTTTCATTGTGCTATTTTTCACATTCTTCACCGTTCCTTAGAAGCTTCCACGACAGGATTGCAAAAATTTTGCACTTGTACACTTTGTTTGGGTCTATTTTAAAACTATTATTTCAGGCTGACAGGCCCCATGTTATGCGAAGGGAGAAAGAACTGAATCTAAAAGCTGAGTCTTCAGATGCTGCTAGGAAAGTTGTTGACAATCCTGAGTCTAGAATTCAAGAGCTAGAGCTTCAGCTGCAGAGATGTATGCTTGAAAGAAACGAGCTAGAGATTAGAATGGAGGAAGCTATTCAAGATTCAGGTAAAAAAAATTTACGAAGTATGTTTTTTCTTGATTTGTGGGATTGTGGAGATTTAACGGGTGAAAGTTGTATCAGGGAGGAAGGATATTAAAACAGAGTTCCAAATCATGGCCTCAGCATTGTCCAAGGAAATGGGGATGATGGAATCCCAGGTGAAGCGATGGAAGGATACAGCACATGAAGCAGTTGCCTTGCGTGAAGAAGCCCAGTCAATTGAAGCTTTGTTAAGAAACAAGGTTTCCTGCTTCCTGCATTTTCATTCTTATTATGGACAAGATAAATAAATTTAAAAATCGATAGTTTACAATTTTATTTACCTGGGTAATGGGATTGGATTCTTGGAATTTGGATGGTTTTAGATGTCATAAGCCTTGTGTATTGTCTCCACAGATATTAGTATTAAATCCCAGTTATTAATTTTTTTAGTAGAGTTGTTAGTATCACGATCTTTTTGTTGAAATTTTCATTTATCTTTCTGTTGAGGTAGATGAATGAAAAGAACCGATTAGAAGAAGAATGTGCAGCACAGGATCTGGAAATCAAACTCCTGAATGCTCAGGTGTGTTCTTATATTGTTTGCAGGAACATTTCTCCTTCCTAGTTATGACTATATAAACCAACCTTTTTCTTTTTCTTGGTGTTTTTCCCTGTCTATGTAGATCTTTTTTTTTTCTTTTGGCGTTAAGTACCTGCTTCCATTAATTCTCAAATGTCTTTGACTAAAATATCCATATTACTTTTAATGCTTCAACTTGGCACTTGGCTTTTAGTAGGTTACTTTGATATTTTTTAATATTTCCTCTGAAGTTAATAATATCCTGCCTTTACTATCTTGTTTTTGTATTCCTCTTAGAATGCATCAGTATATTAAAATAAGACAATCCTCAAATGTACTCAGAATTTTATTAAAACCTTTTAGAATATGGTGGTGACTTGAATGGCTGAATTACATTGGTAACTTGAGAGTGCTTTCACCGTGTAGATTGAGAAGTTGCAGAAGGAGAACTTGGAAACACAGATGATGGTAGACATGTACGCCCGTGGTGGTGATGATAACAGGTATTGGATGAACATGTAATTTTGCAGTCCATGGGCATTGGTGCCTTACATATCTTAAATTGGTTATTAGATAGTGTGGTTGGTGGAAGTTATATTTTGCTGATGTTTCAACAAATTATAATATGGGTTTCTTGAATTGCCATGTAACTGAATAAAGTTTGTTAAACAGTATTCTGACCTGCCTCTCCTTGGCCAAGAATTTTTTGCCCAGGGATTGTGGGTCTTGATATTAATTTTCAGAGCTTTTTTTACATGTTATGTTATTTTGATGTAGCTTGAGGGAGTTTAGGTCCAAAGCTATTGAATTTGAAAAGGATAAGGAAGATGATTTATTCCTTTTTTTTTGGCAGAGAAGAAATATTACTAAAGATGGAAAGAAGAAGATGATTTATTTTAATATTTAATGATCCGAAATATTTATGTCTTCTAGGCTGGATTCTAAATTTCTTTGCTCAGGAAATATATTCTTCATCCCAATTTAATAGGTTGCATTTATTTTTCTTTGTTGGCAAATTTGAGAGGTTTTGTTATACCTGTCTAAAGTACTTAAGAGGGGAACAGGGGTTAATGTGCTGACTAGGTTTAGCATGCTTTTATGTGTCGTTTGCAAAATGATGTGCTGACTGATTGTCGTGCAGAATGAATGTGAATTAAGTTCTGTAATGGATTAGGAATTATGTTCCTTTTAAATTTAGAGTTTGTTGTAGTAGTCCGGAGTCTATTATTGTAATTTTAATTGTAGAAAGATTTTGTTTATAGTTTTAATTGATTTAGGTTTTTAGTTTCGTATCGGGATTCCTTAATTATAGTTATTAGAATTATCAATATCTTTGTAATACTCTTACAAGATCAGCTATTGATCCATATCAATTATGGTGAGAAATCTCGCTGTGTAATATATTTGTTTAACCCTATTTTCTAGCAGGCAAATTAATCCCTAATTTGTTTTACATCAAGGTGGATCTTTAGTAGTTTGCCACTTTCAGATTAAGACTGGAGATCTTGCAATTTTGCAATTCATTGGTTATAGTGGTGGTTAGATTGGGTGTCAGAAGCATGTTTGTGACTTGGTTTATGTGTGATTTGAGGTTACAAGTTATAGATATAAACAATCTTGATCCAGATATTGGTACTGATGTTTTTTCTTTTTTTTTTATGCTTGAGTTTGGTTAACACCTCTGTTGAGATTGAGATATAACTCCCTAGTTAGTGTCACCTCTTGTTAACTCTTGGTTTCAGAGATGTGATGGAAATAAGAGAATCAGAACGGCGAGCGCATTTACAAGCTGAAGTCTTGAAAAATGCGCTCGACGAACATAGCTTGGAATTGAGAGTGAAAGCTGCTAATGAGACTGAAGCTGCTTGCCAAAACAGGCTTTCTGCTGCTGAGGCTGAAATAGCTCAACTAAGGGCTGAACTGGAAGCTTCTCAGAGGTTTGTTTTTCAGTTTCATGTTCCTTTGTTGTATTTAACTTCAAGGTTTTTAAATTTTGAGGGCATGTGATTCTTTTTTCCGCTTGTTTTATGGGGAGTTTGGACGGGTGTGGGCTATTGCAATTTTTTTGAACTAAAGTGAAATCCTAATTTTGATTGTCTATGCCTCTTTTTTTGGTCGTTTGCAATGAGTGTATTTTTCACTTCATAAAAAAAAAGGAATTGCTGATATTGCTTGCAACAAGGATGCCAAGGTGGAGGAGATGTATGACATTGTGGGGGAGGGAAGGGTGTGGGATGTGAAGGTGAAGAGAAGACTACAAGATTGGGAAATAGATAAGTATAGCAGCCTGTTATCGTGCTTGAATGATATGAAGTTGAACAATGAAAGAGATAAAAGGCTTTGGAAGCTGGATGAGAAGAAAGGGTTCTCAGTGAAATCCTTCTACAGCTTTCTAACTAAGAATGATAACAGCCGCAGCAAGCTAGCCCCTTATAAGCAGATATGGAAGTCTAAAGCCTCTCCTAGAATGGCTTTTTTTTTTTTTTTGCGTGGGAAGCGGCCAATGAATGTATTTTGACTTTAGATAAGCTAAAAAGGAAGGGGAATGTTCTGGTTAATAGATGCTATTTATGCCATGCTGTTGAGGAAACATGCAACCATTTATTCTCTTGCCCAGTGACTTACAGCATATGGACCTCTCTGTTTTTGGGCTTCTAGGGTTAAATTGGGTTATGGCTGGTAGTGTGAGTAATGAGCTGTGGGCATGGATGGGCTTTTGTAAAAAGAAAAAACATTTATTCCTTATTCCACTTACTATATTTCGGGTGGTGTGGAAGAAAAGAAATGAGAGAGCTTTTGAGGGTATAAAGACTAACTTTACAATAATTAAAAATAGATGGATTCATACTTTTAACTCTATTTTGTTGGGTCATGACATCAAAGATTTGGATGACTTTGGTGTTGTCATGGACCAATTGATTTACATGTAACTATTTTTGTATATGGGTGGTACCCCCTTGGTACCTTGTGCTTAATAATACTTTCCTTGTATTTCGGGGAAAAAAAAAAAAGAATTGCTACCAGCTGGACCTAGGTCGTTGAGAACAAAATCAAACAATCAGGTCGTCAAGGTAAAATGTTGGACTGAAAGTCATTGTTATTTAATGCTTGGCTATTATATAGCAGGGGAGCAATCTAGCTGTGGTTCATAAGAAGTGAGCATTATTCCAGGAGTGAACATCTGTCAGAACATAATTCCATTTAAAAGATTCCTGCTTATTCATATTTCTAAAAAGATACCAGTTTTTATTTGTTTGAAGTTTGGATATTTTCTCATTTGTTTTCATTCTAGAACTGTTCTTGCAATTATGTTATTTCTTGACAGTCCATTCTTTACCTTCAGGGGCGTATTAGAACTTACAGAGGCTATTAAATATAAAGAGAGGGAGTCGGAGGCATACATATCTGAAATTGAGGTGGTTTATTTACTTTGATTTTGTTTATTTTTTCTCCCCCTTGTTTTGGACGAGAGATGATTTTCAGTTATAGTGCTTAAGTTTTTCTGTGTTGGTGGTAATTTCTGGTTGACATCTTCACTTTTTCTTCCAGACCATTGGACAAGCATATGAAGACATGCAGACACAGAACCAAAGACTGTTGGAGCAGGTGGCAGATAGGGATCAGTACAATATCAAGGTCTCTGTTATAGGATTTTAACCCATCTTGATTCTTTGCTGTTAGACTCTGTTCTTCATTTGTTTCCTTCAAATTGTAGTTCAATGATGTATGCTTGGAATGGTTTTTCTAATTTGGGTCAAGGTGTTTATTAGCTTGTTTCTGAGAGTGTCAAGACGAAGCAAGCGCAGAGCTCTCTACTATCTGAGAAACAAGCTTTGGCAAAGCAACTTCAACAAATTAATGCATCTGCAGAAGCACTAAAAGCAAGGATTGCCCATGATGAGGAGCAGGCAAGGCACTCTTATGGTCTTAAAGCATTGTGGCCTGTTTTTTTTTTTGTTCCTTTATCAATTGACTGTTTAATATTGCAGATGAAAGCTTGTTTAGCAGAGGGTTTTAAATTTATTCAAGAAGACAGACATCTAGCAATCAGCCTTGAAACTGCGAAATGGGATTTGGCAGATGCTGAGAAGGAGTTTAAGTGGCTTAAATCTGCTGTTTCATCTTCTGAGAAGGATTATGAGCAGATTCAGAGGAAGACGAATGATATCCAAACAGAATTACATGATGAAAAGTCAGTCTTTTCTCTATAAATTTTTTCCTAAGCAAATTATTATTGTTTTTATACAGCATTTGTCTACCCGCATTGAAATTATAGTTAGAATGCTGCCAACATTTTGCTGATTCTCACATACGCAATTTTGTTTGAATTTCTGGTGCTATGAATGAATTAGCAAAATTAGATTTCTGTTTTATTATATGTTGCTATATGCATTCTGCTGATTGGCACCCAGAGCAGCAGGTGGTGGCTGAGAACATGAAACTTTCGGCTGATTACTGTGTCTCCCTTTTAAAACTGATCTTCTCTACAGTTCCTCGAAATAGTCTCTATTGTTCAATTTTTTATTTATGCACAGAGGAAGGTTTTTTTTTTTTCAAATAAAAAATGTGAATTATATATTAATAAGGTACCAATAGGGGGTACCACCCATGTATAAAGATTTACAAGTCTGTTAGGGCATTAATAACATTCCGAAAATTCTCATCTCTAATGATGTCATGACCCAACACAAAAGATCCAAAAAGTTAAACCATTTATCTCAAAAGCTATATGTCCCTACTTCTATTCTCTCAAAAGGTCTTAAATTTCTTTCTTTTCAAATAATCCAAAAAATAGTCAAAGGAATTAATTTAGCAATTTCTTTTTTCAAGCCTAAATCACCCCACACCCAAATCTCTTCTTTTACAGAACCCGCTGCCACCCAGCTGAGACCTAAAAGATAAATCATGCACCACAAATCATAAACAGCAGGGCACCTTTCGCTTGGGAAGCCTGTTGGGAGTTGATTCTTACAATTGATAAGCTTAGAACTAGAGGACAGATTCTTGTGAATAGGTGTTACTTGTGTCTGAAGGCTGAGGAGTCCTGCAATCATCTGCTGCTTTGGTGCCCTGTCGCTCATGATCTTTAGTGCATGATTTATGGCTTATAGGGGATCTATGGGATCGTGGCGAGTTCAATCTGCGAGGAAATTTGGGATTGGGATGGGTTATATGTAAAAAGAAACATTGTAAATATTATTTTATTAACTGTTTTTTGGGTTATTTAGAAAGAATGAAATTCGAGAACTTTTGAGGGCAAAGTTAGTAGTTCTAATAGTATTAAAGATAGATGAGTGTATTCTTTTGAGACTATTTTGTTAGGTCATGGCATTATCAGTGATGTGGATTTTGGGAATGTTATTGATACTCTAACTCTTTTGTAAATCTTTTGTACATGGACGGTATCCCTGTTTTAATACCCTGTTAATACAATACTTCATATTTTTTATTTCAACAAAAAAAAAAAAACAGCAGGGCACCAAAGGAGCAAATGATTGCAGGATTCTGCCGCATTCATGCAAAGATAGCATCCATTAATCAATATCTGGCCTCTTGCCATCAATTTGTCAATGGTCAAAATACTCTACCTACTAGCCTCCCACGCAAAAAATTCTATTCTGCGCGGCACTTTCGATTTCCAGATATGAGTATATGGGAGATTGGGTGTGTTAACAGAGTCCTCCCACACAATATGCTTGTAAAACTATCTTACAAAAAATTACCCACTCGGACTTAGCTTCCATAGCAATCAATCTGGCTCAGTATTAATCTGTTTTTGGGACACAAGTGAGAACAGCTCTTCATATTCTCTGCTTTCCCAATCATTCAAATTTCTGACCATGTCTACTGAGCCCACATGTGCCTCCTCCACCATCTTATTTATGGATTGGGCAATAGCAAAGATCCTGGAAAACGGCTCATAGCAAAGATCCTGGAAAACAGCTCCTCAGGCAACCACCCTCCATCCATTCATCCAACCAAAGTCTAATTTTATTTCCTCTTCCCAGTTTCCATTTTTAGTGCATTCTTTAAATCTTGCCCAGCCCAACAGGATTTTCTTCCATAAGCCTAAGCCGTGGCCCCTTATATTCAGACCAACAGCCCCAGTCGTCTCAAAGCAGCCCATCTCGCCTCAATGACCCTCCTCCAAAGCCTTCCATCTTCCTTCACAAATCTCCACAACCATTTCGCTTTCGGTGCAACATTCATTTCCACCAAGGATCCAATACCCAACCACCACTGTTTAGAGGTTTTTTGTTTCATCCCACTTAACCAAATGGTACCGTTTTCTCCCTTCCTCATCACCTCGCATGTGTGCAGAGGAAGCTTTTTGAAGTTATAGCCCCTCAGAAGAGTGTATGTTTCAATTTGACTCTTTTTAGACCCAGGAAGGTTGTTAGAAGTTTGCGGGACATTTGTTGATATATAGAGGAGTCCTTGGTTTTTGCTTCTGGAGGAGCTTGTGATTGAGTGCTAGCACTGCTACTTATTTAGGCTCCCAATTGTTATGATAATGGAGCTCTTTACCTTGTTCATAAAAAATGACTAGTCAGTGTCTTGGACAAGTTAGCGTCTTGAGGTTCTGTACCAGCATTTTGAGTTATCTGTCTTATTGTTATGCTCAATTCCGGAATATCTGTGCTTGGCTTAGTGTTTTTTTTTTTTTTAAATAAAAGCTTGGCCTAGTGTTTATGGCTTGATAATCTTCTTTGGCTGCGGATATTGTTCCTTGAGATTCTTCTTTGGTCAGGTGGATATGTAGCAATTAGCATTGTTGAATTGCATTTTACGGGCTTTATAATTTTTGACTTGGTTGCTGAGGGGTTATGCATCATGTAGCAAATAGATTTCAGACATTTAAGGTGCTTTTTTCCCTGGAAGAGTGGTTCCACCTGGTTGATATTTAGTGGAAGTTTTTTTTTTTGGTTTGCCTCAGAGATTGTAATTAGAGTCAAACTCCTGACCTTAAACTTCGTATTAGAGACTGATGCGACTGTGTCACAAAGACTTTGGCGTGCCCAATACACTTTGTTCTTCCAAGATGTAGACCTACTTGTATCATTGCAGGCCTCCAAGCTGTCAAACTGGAATATATTTTCATAGGCATACAGTTTATTTTATATGAATCAGCTTTATATTTTCCCCTTATTCGACACAAGTGAACTTGATTGTATCTTATCAAAATCATCTATGTTAAAGCAGGGGTGAGAGACAGAAGCTTGAGGAAGAGCTCATGAAATTGAATGCCCAACTTGCTGAGCTGACATCTGAGACTGGAGAGGCTGCAATACTAAGGCTCCAGGACGAAATAAAGAACTGCAAAAACATTCTCAAATGTGGGGTCTGTTTCGACAGGCCAAAAGAGGTTTGTTCTTCTAGTTCAAATGCATGTTACTTCCTTGCATCTCATTTTAGAATCTCAGGTTATTGGACTATCTTGTTGAAATATGCACCAACAGATTTTTCACACCTTAAATTTGGCAGGTTGTAATTCTCAAGTGTTATCACCTGTTTTGTAATCAATGCATCCAAAGAAATTTAGAGATTCGCCATCGGAAGTGCCCTGGATGTGGAACTGCTTTTGGTCAGAATGATGTTCGCTTTGTGAAGATATGAATTGAGTTTTCAGTTTCGATTGAGGAGGGAATCAAAAAATCAAACTACTCCAGTTTCTTTTGGGCAAAAAAATAATGGCATTTATGGTATCCTGAGGTTATCGGTTCTGTATATATCTGTATATACACACATATATATATGTATAAGTTCACAGTATTTACCTGTGAATATTTACACGGTAAATAGCTCACCCAGGTAAATTATCAGTCTTTTAATGAAAATAGTAAATATATATAAACTGTATACCAAACAGAATATAGTTTATTTTCTTGTGTACCGTCGTAATTTGAGTTTGTTTCGATTTGTTTTCGGAAACAAAAGTTAACAACAGGTGTCTGCTGTCTTTGAGCTTAATAATGTTCAGTTTTGATGTTGCGTAAACAGGATTTCGGTCGATATAAGGAATTTGTGTTGTAATGTTTAGGGTTTAGTATTTTCGGTTCATGTTTTATTAATTTTGTGAGAGAGGCTTCGTTCATTATTTTCTTATGCTTGTGTTTCGAGTTATGTATTTTTTATTGGTTATTTACAAATGAAGAGTTCGAAATTTTTTTATAGTTTTAAGTTTTTTTGAATGGGTTTGAATGTTTACGAATGAGTTATAATTATTGATGTCGGAGGAATGAGTTTTGACTCGATGGTTACTCGAGTTCGGGTTATTGTTCGAGATGTAACTTTTATGTTTTCTTAGTGCAAGATTGGGACTATTATTATTATTATTCAATTCTATTTTGGTCTGTGTCGGAAGTTGGAGATCAATCTTTACTTCAAAAAAACTCAAGAACTGATCTCACTCCAAAAATTTCAAGGTGGGTATAGTAAATATATATATATATATATAAATATAATAGTTCGTTTGATTATGTTTTGACTGTTATATTATTTCTTTTGCATCAACAAATATGGGGGAAATAGTAGTCAATTGGATTTCTGAAATTTCTGAAGATATATATCTGAAACATGATCTTCATTATTATCTAATATCATTATCTGGAACGGTGCGTTTTGCCATCAGCAATTGAAACGACGACGTTTTCAGGGCAGCTCAAAGGCTGCAGCTGAGTTACCCCGTAAAAGCATCATCATCCTTCGTCGGGTTCTTATGATTCCTGAGACACTTCCGCCATTTTCAGTGAAAAGCTAAGCAATGCTACTCTCTCTTGTGCACGCGACTTTTACACCCCTCCAATCCACAGCTCACTCCACATATTTCCTCCCAAAATCTCTCTTCCCTTCCTTCGAACATGAACCCACAACCACCCTCCGTCGATTGTTCTCTCTGACCGAGAAAAAATCACCCGATGAGCCCAACTCCAAGAAGCTCAATGTCTCCACTTCTGCCGTCAATGCTTCCTTGCTTGAGGCTCCTGTCTTGTGGGTCGGTAGGACTTGCGTCTTTTATGCGCTCTTGAAGGCTGGCTTAGCTGGATCTCCGGCTAACCCATTAGTCTCTGGTATTTTCACTTCGATTTTGTCTTGTTAAGATTTTCTAATCTGTTTCAAATTCTGATTTTTGAGACAAGGTTTTGGTTTATATTTGGAATGTTGATTGTTTGTTTAGATTTGGGAAGTGGTGCTATTGGAAGTGAGGATGGTGATTTGGGCTTCTCTAAGTGGCTTGAGAACATACGAGGAAAACCAGGTTTGTAAGGCTTTGTTTCTTTTGTAGATTTTAAGAATCACATTTAAAAAAAAAAAAAAAAAAATTCTGATGGATTATTGAGTATAATTTCTACTTGTAATTAGTGGTGGATACATGAAGTGAATGAAGTTTAGTGGAATCCTCTGGAATTTATCATGACTTTTTGTGCGTTGTTTGGCTTTTCTCGACTCTTTGCAATCAACTTATTCAACTTCCATTATTAATTTTGATTGGCTTAATCAGGCATATGGCAGTCAATGTTCTTTTTTATATGGGGTACTTTTGGGAACTGCCATGTTTGTTTTTTGAATAAGCAAAAACATGATTACTAAGTATTTACAATGCCGGAGGTTGATGCCTGTTTATTGTTTATCCTACTCAAGGAGGAGATAAAGCAATAAGGGTGTTTCTTTTTTATATAGATAGTTTAAAGTTTTAGGGTAAAGTATTCATCATTTTTCACCTTTTTTTTTCTATAAGAAAAATTTAAGCAATAGTCAGTTTACAAGGCTAAGCACGAAGGATGTTTTCCCTCGTTTGACTGCTTAGAGCAAAATCGAATTCAAGATTCACTTTATGATGTGCCGAAACAACTTATATCTTTGCAATTGTTTAAGGATGTTTTTGCCTGGAACATAAATTTTCCTCATCGGGAAAGAATAGCGAGTGTTTTCATTAAACCTTGAAGCATGTTCTCTCTTCACTTTGTTTGGAAAATTTTATATCTTGGAATTGCATGATATCCGAGTCTCCATGATTAGGACAACTCGGAGTTATATATGGATGATTTTCACTTAAGTTTTTTACTTGGAATGTAAATTTTCCTCGTCGGTAAAGAATTGTTGGTGTTCTCATTAAGCCTTCCAGCATGTTTTCTCTTTGCTTTGTTTGGAAAATTTACATCTTGGAATCGCATAATATCCCCATTTCCATAATTAGGACAAATTGGAGACATATATGGATGACTTTCACTTAAGTTTGATATTTAATAATGAGTTTGACTCAATATTAATCTGTCAATATACAGTTAAATTTTTGTGTAATAGGATGGTTTAAATTTTTTATTTTTCTTTTGGAAAGAAACTTATTGATGGTTTAGTTATTAGAGAGAATCTTGATGCTTTAAGAGTTTGGCTTATTTCAAGTGATCAATCCTTCTATACTATAATAACTATGGCTCTTTTCAACTATGCCAAACACTCGACTTGATGCTAGCTTGGGATTTATGTCCAATACTTATGATGCAGATTAGAAACTTGAAGGTCTAGAACAAAGGTTTGATGATTTTGGTGATTTGAATAAAATGATAAGACTCATAGGCAAGAAATTGAAATATAATGGTTAGTTCTTGAATGCCTAAAAAAACTAAAACTGAAGATCTTGGTATAAAAAATAGCTTTTTTCCCTTCTCTTTTTGAGAGGTACTTGTTAATCATTTTTGTAGTAGTAGTTAGTATCAAACTTTTTCGTTTTCACTCTCACTACCGAAATGTAACCGTTCTCTTTTTGTGCTAAAGGTTGTATTTTGTTATTTATGACGGTGGTTTAGCTTCCTTATAGGCTTATATTAACTTCATCTTTCTATATCATGAATAAAAAAACCTATACCAAAACTTTGGACTTTTAGCTCTGAAATTGTTTAGTTTGTTAGAAACTTGATCCGTACTCGTATTGGACACCTGCACTCAATTGGAGCAATGGAAATCACAATTAGATTTTTGCCACCTTAGCAACATTAACGATGTAATATTTTAAGCGACAAATAACGGCTCAATTATTCGGTAAGATGAAGATCTTGGCATTTTAAGAGTTGCACTAATTTTCTGGGATCGGTCCCTCAACTGGGAATCAGACTTTTCCCACGGTCATAGCGGAGAATTGGGAATTCAATTACTGGAGACTGGAACTGATCTTTTCCTTCAAAATTTGTCATGGAATATTGGTGACACCAAATAGAAGTAATAACCTCCATCCAGGTTTGAATTCAGTTATCAATTAAAATTCATAGCCTTCCTAATTTCTTCAAGCATCAACTCTTGCACCATTACTTCAAGAGTTACCATAGCGTGTGGAATTGATGTTCATGTTACACAAGGATTCTTTAAGAAATATATATATTATGTACATATAATCATTTTCAGTAGGTTGTCAAGTTGATCAATCTTAATATATTAGTTGCTGATCTAGAAATTGTGGATCATAAGAAAAGTAACCATAATGAACTATCTTTTGCCTGCGGATCAGTGGGGTAGGTTGAGAAATTATTAGGCAAAAGGAAGTAATTAATGATCAACTTATTGGTTGGCATGCCCTAGTCGAGATGCATATGAAATTTACTGTGTGCTTGCGAAGCATGAACTTTTGTTAGTTAGAGCATCTTTTTTTTTGGCATATGAAAAAAGTGGTTGTAAGAGAACTTTTCTTCTGTACTATCAGATAAAGATGCCGCTGAGAAAAGGAAGCTAGTGAGCAAATGGCATCCGACAACAAAAGGGACACTCAAGAGAAACTACAGGGTACCTTCCAAGGCTGAAGGACGTCGCCTTCTCAAAGCTATTGCTTCCCTGCTTTCTGATGATGATCACTTCACAGATGCCACTTCCCACAAGGTAATACAACCCTATAGTTTCTTTTTTTTTTTTTTGAAGAATTCTCCATAATATATGTGATCCATGCGTAGTATTATGAAAAGTGGATACAAATTTTTGATTGCTACTTAATATCGGTAGTAGGTTTGAAAAAGTATCTAACAATATCAAATTTAAATATTTGTCCTCCGGTGAGGTAAGGAATCATGACATATATGTTTGGACAAATTCTATTTTGAGAGCGTTGAAAAAATACTATCTCGTTGAAAGGTTCTATCCATCTGTCTTTTTT